ATCATCATAGATCAAAATAAACTTAAATAGAAATGTCTAGAATTTTCTAATTGTACAAAAAAAGATATGATCTGCATTATCCAAATTTGGTAATATCCGAGACTGTATGTAGGGGTATATAACGTTATATATGGATGCCCCCTAACTGGTGAACGTCTATTAATAATATTAAATCTATATGCTAAATCTATTAGATTAGATATTATACTATACTAGCTTTTATTATTATAAATTAAATTAGCTTATAGATACTTTGTTACTTATTTATATACAATAAAAATAGCAAGATAACAATCATAACATATAAAATCCTGATCTAGAATGTAATTCTTATTTAGCCACTATGGTATACCAATATTATATATGTTTTTTGAATAGTCTTTCTAATTCAAATTTTTGAATACTATACAATTTTTAGCAGATTTTAAAAACTATTTAAATAACTTCTTCTAACTCTAAAATAAAATTTAATTGATAATTAGTATAGGTGAAAATATAAGATTATTTAATATAAAAATAATTATTTAAACTAATCTAAACAGATTTGAGAATAGTTAGAGTTAGGGTAAGGGTTATAGTATAGTTTATAGTTAGCTTCAGATTAGAGTTAGAGTTTTTTTATATTAACTAATCTTATAATATTTATATATTCCCACTTATACTGTAATTTTGTAGATAATTAACTCAAACAAACTAATTGGTTGATCTTTAGTATAACTGGACAATATAGAATTATTATAAAATTATAATATATAAACATAGTATTTGAACTAATTTAAGCAAATTTAAAATTAGTTAGGGTTAGTTAAGGGTTATAGTAAAGTTTATAGTTAGCTCTAGGTTAGGGTTAGAGTTTTTTTATATTATAATTTTATAATATTTCTATAATGCCCTAACTAATTTGTATATAATATAATACTAGTAAATAACTATTAGTACTATTGATATATGAATTTAGTTTTTTGTTTTTATTAATATTTTTTACTCTATGATCTAAATGAATACAAGCTAAATAAATGTAAATTGGGTTCTAATAGATATAAAATAATCCTGATATAAATCTTATTTAAAACAGATATTTAGCAAAAATAAGAGATCTTTAGAATACTAATCTAGTTTATATAGATATTTAATATATATTGAAATGTTGATAACTAGAGATTCAATTCAGACCTATTTATCTATATTATTATATTCAGATATCTATCTGATTATATTAGATATCCAAATAGATTTAACTAAATTATCTGATAGATTTGTAATGATATCCAAACAGCTATTTAAATAAATATCCAAACAGATATCCAAATAGATATTCAAACAGATATTCAAACAGATATCTAAATAGATATCTGTTTGGATATCTGTTCTGGATATCTATTTAAATATCAGTTTGGATATTAGTTTGGATATCTAAACAGATATCTAAATAGATATCCAAACACATATCCAAACAGATCATGATACAACTCTTCTCATCAATTACTCATACTAAAATTTTAACAAACGAAGAATACTACTTTTGTTAGAGAGATGTGGCTTTATGATGGTTTGTCTGGAGATCAACTGCTTTTCTAGAGAACTCCTCTATAAGTTAACATTTGGCATGCAAACCAAAAGTATTATTATACAAGATAACTGGCTATGTGGTGCCTTTGTATAAAAAATTCTAGTAGAGAGACTGTTGGGCCTCTGCCGTTAACAAAGCTTTAAGACTGTTACTTCAAAAAAGAACACAGAGAAAACAACAGAAGTTCTGAACTTCTAATATGCTTTTTAGAAAATTTGAAAATATCTGCAACTATATACCTTTTACTATATTTTTGTGGTTTTGAAATTTTTTTAGAAATTTCAGCCAAAAAGTAAAAAAATCAGTATGCCCCTCCAAAAGATTGGCAGTGTTTACTCCTTTCAAATTAGGACATGTCTACTGAAATGGAACCTCTCACGAGCTTATTTGGATTCTGCTTTGCCAAATAAACAATAACGGTGGTACTGTTTACAGTATAGAGAATCGGAAGGATTATATGTAAAAATTTCTTAACGTTAGATGTTTTTTTTTTCTTTTCACTTCTTTTAGTACATATAGTGTTAGATTAGATTTTTTTCTATGCAACATTATATAATTTTTATAGCCTAATATATGCAATAATAGTGTCGTTATGGCTGTCTTTTTTTCAGTCTTTTTCTTCTTGTTTCCTTTTTATTTTATTTGTTTTTATTAGTTTCGTTTAGTTTAGACTTTTTACCTTTTTAGTTTTTCTTTTATTTTGTATTTGTTTTTTTTCTTTTTTTGTTTTTCGTTAATAGTTCTTCTACCTAGGAGGCTAGGAGAAGAAAGTTGGAAAAGAAGGCGGTTATGACAGGCTAGTGAACCAGGTTAGTGATCTGAGGATAGGTCAGTTGAAGTGAAGTAAGCCAAACCTAACCAGGAAGATTAAACTCATCTTGGCAAGTCACACATAGATTTAATTAGAAACCAGATGAGCCACATTTTAGTCTTTTTGCTATAAGACATAGTGTAATTTGGACAAATCCTCTGGGAAATATAGTACTTCATCAATAAAGCAGGCATGTGATATGGTCATCAAAAAAAAAATAAAAAAATATCCAAACAGATATCTAACTAGATATTAAAACAAATATTTGAACAAATATCTAAATAGATATCCAAACAGATATCTAAACAGATATCCAAACAGATATCCAAACAGATATCCAAACAAATTTCTTAATGGATATTTAAATGAATATCTAAACAGATATCTAAATAGATATCTAAACTTTTTTACAGTAACTTATATTTATTAATTCTAATACAACTAACTCAATCTTGACCTTGTACTGTGTTTACCATATCAGAATCTTTTAGAAATCATAATAATTTGGTATAAATTAACAATTGCAAATATATAGTTTTATTACTAGAACAAAGAATAAGTTCAGTAACAAAATTCTTTATAGTTATAGTAAGAATTATAATAATTTCAATGAAAACTAACAGAGTTTTGTATAATAAAAATTATGATAGTTCTAGCTTAATCTTAACTACTATAGTAATTACTAGAATATTAAGTTTTTTAACAAAATTTTTTACAATAATTTTAATAACAAATTAATTTAATCTAACTACATAGAAATTATAATAATTCTAATGCAAACTAAATTTAATTACAAGTACATCTTTGTAAAAAACTTTTATCTCTAGTGAAATGACTTCTTATTTTATTGGCATATTGATCTCTTTGCATAGATTGTAAAGATCTTGAACTATATTTACTTTCACTAACTTTATCATTACTACCAGCACATTTAGAAACAGCAGGAGTTGGTGTAGCAGAATTATTATTTCTACACTATGTAACAAAATTTAAACTATTTGATAGATTTGTTAAAGAAACATAATGAATATTATTATCATCTTCTTTATTGCTTATAAAAGGTACAATTTTAGGATCAAAAACAGCTTCTAGATTTGTAGCTAGAGTAGTTTTACAATTTTCAACAAGACTATATTGAAAAGTAGCAGGTGAACTCATAATATAAAAATCCTCAATTATAGTATTAGATCTAGACCTTGATATAAATTAAAAAGTAATTCTTTTTAAACCAAAATCATTTAACAAAAGAGTATCAGAAGAAGAAGGTTGTGGTAAAAGGTAAACATTAAGAGAAGTAGTAGTAGTTAACTTAGTTATTGAATTTGATAGAATGTTGTGATTTTTAAATAATATAGATTAAGATCTTGAAAGAGCATTATTCAGAAAATCAATTTTTTGATGATCATTTGGACCAATCCTTCTGACAAAAAAAAAAATAAAAGTTTGCTAGAGTTGGAGCTGAAGTAGACGCATATTAACAGTTTTTATAGAGGTTAGCCAAGTTGGTCTTCTTTTTGCTTTGGCTTGGGAACTTCTCTATATCTTTATCATGCAAGTTAGAAGCATTCTTGTACAAGATAACTGGTAGAAGAGTGTGCTCTTGTGCAAAAAATTCTAATGGAAGAGGCCTCTCACTTCTGATAATGAAGTTATATATGCACCTGACTTATCTGGAAAACAGCAGACAACTGTTTTAAAGAAGCCTTACACTCTTTTCTTGGCCAAGTGGTTCCTTCTCTTCTTTCTCACTTTCTTGTCAGTTTTTCCAAATTTTTTCAAAAAAAGTGGGATTTGGCTTACCTCCTCCAAAAGATTGACATTGTTTATCTCCAAATCCAGATAGGCTAGTAGATGGCAACATGTGTCCGAAAATGAATATGACATTCAAGTGCTGGAACGGGTCCTAGCTAAAAAAGGAATCCCTGATTATGGCAGCAAGTGGCTTGAGATACAGGTTTACGGATGGCAGTAGCACCTGCTTGAGATACAAATTAGGTTGTTAAAAAAATCCGGAGTTGGGTCGGAAAGAAAAATAACGATAAGACATAGTCTTACAGTAGAGATATACAGATGTTGCTTGTGCATATAATTTTTATCAACCTGGCACGGGTTATAATAGTGCACCTCTGTTTCTTATATGTGTCAGGTTCGCCTGTCTTTTTTTTTGCTTTTTTCATCTTTTTCTCTTTATGTATAGATAGAGTTTAGGGTTTTTGTTTGATTCTTGTTTGTATATGTCTTAAATTTCCAGTCTTTCGTAAATTTTGGCATTATTTTCTTCTCTTATATAAACGTAAGAGATTTAATTATTCTGCCAGGATCTAGGTGGAAAAGTTTTAAAGGAAGATGGGTGATATTGACAAGGTAGACAACAACCTGTCCATTATCAAGGGGGTACTCTTGTCAGTATAAAATTCAATGCAAGTGTTGAATTCTGAGTGAGACTAATTGTTGTTATAGCAGGTCGCATTGGGCATTTTGCTTAGTGAGTTTTTATTAGATTAGAATATTACACTATAAAAATGTAAGTACCTAGTATGATCATTAAATAGTAGTTCCAATAAATAAAGACAAGATTGCTTAAAAAAAAAAAATTAATTTTTTCAGGCATCTAATAATCAGATTTGGGATTAGAATTATTACTATAATTTTCCATAAGTTGTGAAAAATTACAAACATGCATTGTACTATCATAATTAAACTTTTTACCAGGTATTATATTGGAGACACATTTAGAACAAAAATCTTAGTTCACATATATTTATTGATGTCTATATAATAAAAGAAAAAAACTAATTTGACATCTAGTATATTAAACCTGATATTTGTATAACATGTAAATTAAATAATTTTTATTAAAATAAACAATAAACAAAAATATTTTTAATTAATATTAGAGTTAGTATTAGTGTTTAAAATAAAATAAATTATAATTTTGCAAGGAATTTTTTTTTTAAAGCTGTATTATAAGCAAAATTTTAACATTGGGGGTGCTAGTAGAAAGATAAATTTGAGTTTTTGAGATAATTCTTTAATAGAAATCTGTGTAATATAAATCAGTTAGTAAAAACCAAGTGAATTTATTAGATAAATTTGTTTGGTTTCTACTAACTTATATAAATCAAAGATTAGATGATTCGTTTTCTAATCTAATAAATCATTTCTGACTGAAATGAAATTTTGTAGAACTTAAATTTTAAACCGTAATATCTTAAGATTTTATTAATTAATAAGAGATTTATTATTAAGTAAAAAATGTTCTTTGTAAAATTTTATATTAGTTAAATAAAAAAACTCATTTTTGAAAAAATTTTAATTTGCTTAGTTTTTACTAGCACTCTATATATGGAAGCCCCTACAGCAAAAGGTAGTGATGGGTCAAAAAAATTTTTTCTGTAGTTTTTTAATATTGTGTTCCAAATAATTCAATTTTTGCAAAAATAAAGTTTTTACAAAAAAAATTTTTTTGGCCCATCACCACCTTTTGCTGTGGGGCCTCCCATATTATTTATTTTTAGTTTTTTCTTTATTTTTGTTATACAAAAAAGATCTATATATTGCATTCAATTTGATATTTAAGGGTAGAGTGTATGTAGATTATCTATTATATGATTTTGTATTACAACATGATTTTTGCAAAAAATAAAAATAAGCTACTAATAAAACTTTTTACTATTTTAATTAAATTTTGTAAAATTCTTACAATATATACTGTATTCTGCTGTGAATAAGTACCCACCTTTTGCAATTTTTATATCAAAGTTTTGTATAATCTAGTGATTGAATCTGTATGATTTTGATACTATTTGAATCATTTTAATAAGCTAATTTGAATATTACCAAAATCATACAGATCATGTCACTAGATCATGAGAAACTTAAATATGAAAATTGCAAAAGGTAGATGCTTATTCATAGCAGGATATGGTATATTAAAATGTATTCTTTATAGTAGTAAAATTTTTAATAAATTAAATATTTAAAAAATTAGACTTGTATATATTGTAAAGTTATTTTAGATTGACCCAAATTTTTTAAATTACACAAAATTATTAATTTTAATTGGTTTATATCATATAATCATTATATGATTTTGCAATACTTAATCTTTAAATTAATGTATTTCGCTGAATATCTAACCAATCTTGATAATTTTACTATTATTAGAATCAGAACATTCTACTTTACAACTTTTATTAAAAATTTATAAATAGTTTATTTAATAATATTTTCTTTAATTTTAAAAAGTAAAAAATTTTACCATTAGTTTTATATATAATTTGCAAATTGTATACTCTACTCTTAATTGGTTTTTTAATCATTTTGTATAACCAAGTGTTAATACACCCCGTGTCTAAATAGTAATTGACTAATAAAAAGAAATCTGTGCCAGGTTATGCATGTTGTTTTTCATCACATGACAATTAGCTAAGTATCCTAGCTGTAATGAAAAGTTTTAAAATTTGTACAAAAATAATTCAATAAATATTTATCTAAAATTGATGAAATTTTTTTATTTTAATTATATAAATAAAGAGGTTTACTATTTATCACCACTGGAGTGTTGCTATATCTCAAAAACCTACTAAGTAAACAGGATCGGGAACTCTAAGTAAAAATATTCAGAACCCTTAAAAACCTTATGGGAACTAAAATTAGAACCCTAAATCCAATATATATAATATTATATAAAAAAAACCTCACTTAAAAATGTATTCTAATCCTAAAAACTTTATTATTGCTATATTTCAAAAACCTACTAAGTAAACAGGATTGGGTACTCTAAGTAAAAATGTTCAGAACCCTTGAAAACCTAAAATTAGAACCTTATATCTAACCTATATTATATTATATAAAAAAAAAAAACACCCTTAAAATGTATTTTAACCCTAAAAACTATACTGGTGATGATCACCAATGGTGAAACAAAGTAATTTTCATAAATAAATACAATTAAAATAAAAAAATTTCGTCAATTTTTGATAAGTAGGTATTGAGTTAGCATCATTCAAAGTTAGAAAAAACTTTTTCATAGTCTTTGTTTTGATAATCGGCTAAATT